GCATATAAAAGGCTTCAGCTTTTTAAAGTGAATTTTTATAGCTGAATTTTCATTCATAATTTCTTGATGGAGCTATGTTTTATACTGACGACAGCTTTGAATCAGTTGAAATCATGCACTCTATGGCCATAGTCTTGTTGTTAGTACACGCATTGAGTAATGCATTGAGCTTTGGCACTTATGTGGGTAATGAGAAGTCAAAGCTGGCATGCAACAGTTTCCCAATCCTTTTCTTCTCACTCTAATTTCTAATTCCTCACCTCACCAGGGTTTAGAAAAATAATATGAACAATACTTTATTATTAAGCTGATTTACCACACTTTGCCTTTAATTCAGCTTCCAACCTTCTTAAAATAGTCTCCTTTAAATATTCTCCAGTCGTCTATCAGAACATCCGCCAGTTGCTTTAGAGATGTTGAAGAAGGGAAATTGCCCACAGTGTTTTATTTATTATTATTATTTATTTAGTTAAAGGGGGGGGGGGAGTCCCTTTTCCAGATGTTATTTAGGTCAAAAAAGTTGGTCCCACTTTATATTAAGTGTCCCTAATACCTGTGTACTTACATAGTAACTAGATGTGTACGTAGTATGTAACCACAGTGTAAGTACACATTGGTACATATTATCTACAGCTCTAATTTTTGTGTAGCTACACATATGTAACAACCCACTGGATGGTATGTGTAAGTACAAATGTGTAACAGGACATTGGTAACAACAACACTTTAAAAAATATATATATTAAAGTTATATATTTCCTGTTACACGAGTACTTAGTGAAGTGAAAAAAGTGTTGTTACCAATGTCCTGTTACACGTTTGTACTTACACAAACTATTCTGAGGATTGTTACATGTGTGTAGTTACAGAAATATTACCGCTGTAGATACTATGTACCAATGTGTACTTACACTGTGGTTACATAGGTACACATCTAGTTACTATGTAAGTACACAGGTATTAGGGCCACTTAATATAAAGTGGGACCACAAAGTTTGATAATTTTCAAGTCAGCTGATTTGTCTGGACAGGGCAAATGCTGATGTTCATCTTGGTGCTGCAGTTGTCCAAGTTTTATGATCACGACACCATCTTTTTAGCAGTTTAGCAATGGTATCTGTTATTAAAGTTTTATCAGTTGCAGCTCTTTCATCGATGTTGGTTTTGTCTCTGTGGTCAGTTTTTGTGGAAACGGTCTTCAGTGTGAACACTGAGGTTTGCTGCAGTAGCTCTGTGTTATTTGGACACAATCCTTCTTATTGGTTGACGATCCCAATCATTCGCTTTCAGTTTTCGCCTACTATTCTTCTTCGCTGATTAAGTTTTGCCATTTTTTGTTTGACTGTTGTTCTTAAAACACTAAACAATTGGGCTGTTAAGGTTACAGACACACCTGCTAAACAGGTTCCCTTGATTTGCCCTTAACACTGCTACACAATTTATACTACACTGATATACAACCTAGAGAATATAAACAACAAAAGGATAATTGCAACTTTAGTTTTTTCATTGTAGCCTATACAAATGTTATTAACCCTTATAATGAAGGGTGTTCGCATTATTTTGTCCAACCCCAGTATATACCATGGCATGCTGTGAATTAAAAAGGCCAAAAATACAATCAAGCGTCACTTTCTAATGCGAACAGAATTACTAGCATTGCTCACATTAAGCGTTTTTGAGCATTTTGTCTTCATTTAGGAATACTCCAAGTCGTTCACACTCCAAGTTACCAAGGAAAAACGTGTGGATAAAGGAAATATAAGAGAACTAGACTGGATGATGACTGGGCAGAGTTTAATTCATGCAAGCACAAACATACATGATGCATTGACAGAAAGAGGAAGAGAAAGAGAGAGAAATTTCTGACACTTCCAAGATCTCCGGCCTTTTACTGAAAGGCTCGTAAAGCATTTGAGTCTGCATATGTGAGTTCATGGGTGTATCTTAGCATGCAAGCAAGTGAATGTGGGTGTTTAAGTGTGAAAATGTGTTTATCGGTGTGAATACATGTGTAGACGTGTTCTTTCATGCTTCTGAGAGCTGTGACTTTCCTTGTCTGTTATATGGTGGTGCTCATGCTGTACAGGTGAATACTGTCATTAAAATGTATTGATCAAGACTTCATTAGTCAGTTTCTGGTTCATATTCAGCAGCATGTTAACTCTGTTCCTGTGGAAAGACTGTTTCTGATGACCAAGCAACTCATGTTTTTACCCAACCAAGAAAAAAAAGGAACTTTTGGCTTTGGGGTATTTCAAGTAAATGATCTCATGTGTGCATATGCACTTCAGTAATGAGAACACAGCCTCAAACACACACACTAGGAAAACATACTGATTTGAAGTTGACGGCAACAGACCAAGTTAAACTCACTTTTATCCAAGCACTGATGAATGGAATGTTTACAAGCCTTTCTTGATGACATAAATACAGGTAAGAACTTTTTTAAACAAATATATGTTTAGAGGAGTATGAAACTCAATAAAACAATGATTTTTCAATGGTTTTTTTTTCAGTGTAGGTTTTGAGTTATTGAAATTATAAATAGTCACTGACTGAAATCAAAAATATATATGGTATGAAATGAGTAAGAGTATGAAATACTATAGTCGGTTTTGAGCTGCTGATATCCACAGAATTATTAGGATATAATATAATACACTGATATATATTATAATTTAAGTGAGTTGATGAAATGTGAAAAATATCAAACAATTCAAAGAGAAAAAAAGGACCTCAGCATACGAACAGACAAAACTTTTTGGGATTAAATATATATATATATAACACACCATCTCACATGCTCACACATACACACACACACACACACACACACAGAGAAATTAATTAATTTAAAAGATAATTTTGATGAAGTGATCATGAAGTGGTAATCTCACAATTTCCAAAAAAATAAAAAATAAACGTAAATATAGTTGTTGTATAAGTGTATCTGTAGACCTCCAAACCTTTATCCTGATCCTTATATGGATCAAAGATCGTCTCAATAATCTATGTTGAAAGCAGAAAATTGGGTTTGAAAACTGGAAAATGGAACCAATCATAGATAAATTTATACAAGGAAACGTCTGGTTTGGGATCTAGAAATCCAAGAAAAGAAAAACCCTGCTATGATATGTTGATCAATACTCAGATTATTAACCATTAAAAATAAACCAAAAAGGATAAAAACTGTTATAATCTTAATCCCTAAGATTCTCTGAAAAATGTAAACATTTTTACCTAAAATGATAAAACCCTTAAGATAAAAAAAAACGTAAAAAATGTTGCTTTTAAGCATAAATATAGCTATATTTAGTGTATTGTGCTTAAAACAAGAATAAAGACGAAAGATAAACAAAGATACATTTCCCAAAAACAAGTTACATGATAAAACCCTTAAGATAAAAAAAACGTAAAAAATGTTGCTTTTAAGCATAAATATAGCTATATTTAGTGTATTGTGCTTAAAACAAGAATAAAGACGAAAGATAAACAAAGATACATTTCCCAAAAACAAGTTACATTCAAGTAAATTGATCTTGTCGCAGTGTTTCACACTTTTTTTTTTTTGTAGTGCAGTGCAGTGCATGCACAAGTCAAGACCACCAAGATTCATCACAGAGAAAACAGTTTATGTCACTGTAGGAACAAGGTGTGAGGTAAAATCTGTTTTTGTTTTTGTTTTTCTGCCCTTTCAGTGAGTTCACTCACCTACGTTCATGCGTGTAGGCTACTTCACCGCAGCTAAACATAGCACACCTACCGTACGCCGCGCAACCTCTAAATGAAAGCGTAAAAAACAACATAAAAACATATGAAACTGAACTAACTTTTACAAACTAAACACATTTTAAAGTCAATTTCCGACAGCACGTGTTCTGTGTGACCACATCTCTTTCCCCCAACGCCCCTCACCGTCTTTTAAGCGTAGGGAAATCCCTTTCTTTACAGTTTCCTGGCAGTTGCGAGAAATGTAGTGCGACATACAGTAGTACTGCGTCTGTTTTTACGCTGCATAGCTCCATTAGTGGGTTACGGGTACATGGTCAGGTTCACCCCAGAGGAGTGGTTTTATGTAGCTACCGCTATTGTACGAAACCTGCTGCATGGAGATCTACAGTATTTTTTAAGATGTGCACCTGTTCCTTGAAGTGCTCCATTCATTAAAGGTGGATTTTGAATTCTTCATGGAAAGATGGATCTGGAGGACACTATGCTTTTGTCACAAAGAGTAAGCAATATAATATATGCAGCTTTGTGCGATGTTTCTTTCATTTTTAGATGCTTTGTGACACTTTCAAAATAACTACTTTTAAAGTGAAGTGTGTAATTTTCTGTGTTAAAACACTTCTAACTCTAGACACAGCCGATGATAAGTGTTTGATGCGAAACCATGTGTTTGTCGGACCAATGGCAGATGGGAGGAGTGTTCAGGAAACATGCTAGAAAACATTATTTTTACAGTTTTGTTTGGTGGCACAGAAATTACTTGAGACACACTTCACCTTTAAAGGTTGCTAAGTTTGCATCATGCAAAGGCTTTCAGTTACAAATGTTTTTTTCATGAGGGGAAAAAAAGTGTATGTGTGTTGTTTTTGTTAGCGCACACACGTGAGAGGAAAAAAGAGGTTTTATGCTTAAAACCAGTGAGAATTCTCAGGAACATGTCTGTGGTCTGTTTTTTTTAGACCTACAGTATATATGTTTGCGTTTGCTTTTATAACAGCATGATGTCTGTTGTCACATTTGTTCTTAAAGTGATGGTTCACCCAAAAATGTAAATTCTGACAATTCACCCTCACGTGTTGTTTCAAAACTGTAAAACTTTTTTCTTTCTGTGGAACACAAAATAAGCTATTTTGAAGTCAGTAAGGTTAACATTCTTCAAACGTTGCCCAAATGACATGAGGTTGAGTAAATGATGACGGCATTTAAATTTTTGGGTGAACTGTTCCTTTAAATGGAATTGTTCTAACCATCTAAATATTCTGATATCTTGAAAGTAACCGGTAGAATCAGCTGCTGTAAAAAGCGCCTGGCCTCTGATCTTGGATCTCAGCTACAATGTTCTCCGCGTGGATTCTGCATATGGTTGGATTCGCTCTGCTGGTCAGGGGAGACATCAGTGATGAACAGTGTCCTCTTCATGAAGTCAAGCCTGGGAAAGGTGAGAGAGAAAGATAACACTCTCAGACATTATTGCATTCAATTCTTTTTTTTATAAAACCTGTTTAGTTCAGGCCTGTGTCCACCAGATAGACCCTTATCAGTGGTTTCTCTAATCTTCTTGTGGCCTCCGTTCTGGACTCATATACATTTTATTATCCCATCCAAAATAAATCCTTATCTTGGACCGAGCTAAACATCAATAGAGATTTTCCTTTGCAGACACTTGTAATTCAAAATGTGGCTTAGATTGGCCAGTATAAATCAGCTCTGAAGATCTGATTTTAGAAGTTCACTTCTAACTAATCTTGAGAGCCTTGCAGAATCTAAAAATAATTTTAAAAAAAAATCCCTTTAAGTTTAGCAATCCAAAACTTACATCACCCAGAGCTTTGTCAGTCTAGTAAGTCACTCGAAGTTCCTGTCTGTGGCCACACGTCTGGGGAGAAAATAAATAAAAAAAGACTAAAAAGTTTTTCCCCCAAACTGGAGAACAAATCATCATTCATCTGGCTTTTTTTTCTGTGCTGGCGTATATTGTGTATATATGATATGCCATATCCAGTATTCATGCATTGCAATTTTTACTTTTGGGAAGCTAACATGTCACACACTAAACAAGAGCAAAAACTAATAATGATTATTCTTTGTTAATATTTAAATAGTAATACTTTATATTTTAATTTAAATTAAAATTTCTTGAAATTGTCAAGTTTATTTATTTTTAATAATGACCAAAAAATAAAGGAAAATGAATTAGTCACATCGCAAAGCCATTTAAAATACTAAAATAGTGAAAAACGTTTTTTAAAAGCCAGTTACAGCATCTAAAATATACATTTTATATTCATATAAATTGCAAATAAAAATCTTGAGTTGATGTTGATAAACATTTATGGTCATTTTATAGGTTTCTTACCTGTAAATAGAATATCTGTGAAGTGTTATTTTAGCATCACTGAGATGCTATTATAGTTTGAATGAATCTTTTGAATCAGTTTTTTATTTTTATATTTTCATTTTTTCATTCTAATTTTAGCTAAAGTTCTAGTTATTTGTCATTTTTAGTTGTTTTTGTTTTTATGTCTATATAGCTTCATCATAAATTTGTTTTTATTTCTTTTATTTTATTTTAGTTGTAGTTATTTTAGTACATCAAGTTAAACTAAATTAAAATGAAAAATGTTGCATTGGCAACCAGCCAAGCTGAAATAAAATAAATATATATCTTAATTGATTTCAAAAAAACAATTTTTTTTTTATGGTTTTAATTTTAATTTCAGTTTTAGTTAACTATATTAACCCTAATCTGTGCCACTAATAAAACCTGCATTAAGTATTATTTGCCTGAAAGCAAGAAAATGTATCTGGGATGCAGTGGCACTTTAGTGACTCTTACGTCGTAATGTCTATCAAATCTGTGCATCTCAGACATGAAACGATGTCATTGCACTTAATACTGACCTTTGAACTCTTGTTTCAGAATCTGCAGTGATGGATTCCTTGCAGTGCCACAATGACTACATGAGCTATGCACAGTGCACATGGGAGGTCGATCCACATATTCATCCACAAGCTACAGAAAACATGCATGAATTGTACTACTGGGACACAACTTTAGAGTAAGTGGAAAGAAAAACACAAACAAACAATGAAAGAAAGACTACAATAGGGGAAATTAACCTTTTTTACACTCTCTCTCTCCCTGTCTGTAGAGAAGAAACACTTTGCGTCTCGAATAGATCCGGTGTGCTTTTATCCAATGGGAAGATCTCTCACATGTGTCGCTATAACACTGAAAGGTTTAACACAGGAACAAATCACACTCTCTACTTCAAAGTGCCCTGTGTACCCAGAGCCACGACTCTCAGAGTTGCTCAGAACGGTGAGTGTGTGTTTTGTGCATTTACCTTCTAAATCATCTCTGGCGTGGAAAAGCCTTTCACCGTTCCGTGTGTGTGATTTCAGGAAAAGTTAGGGCCCCAACTGACTTGACAGAGACGTTGGCTGATAACGGAGGTCGTCTGCTGTCCTGGAGAAGCCCGTATCCTGCATCCTCAAAAATCGCAGGAACTCTTGTGTACCAGCTTCAGTATCGCATATACATGCATAACTGGACTGTGAGTACACACACACAAACACACACACACGCAGTACACTGTCAGAAAATAAATAAATAAATAAATAATTGTGTTTTATCTACCCCACATGCATATTGGTAATTTGGTATATTCTTTAGGTACTAACATGCAACCTTAGGTGTAGATAATTTAACACATTTTAATTCAATTATATGTTTCACACAAATTGTGCAGATTAATGTATAAAATATATACTATTTATTTTATATATAATAATATATAAAAAGTCAAACTACACAGTACACACACACACACACTATTCATCAAAGAATCCTGAAAAAAAATGTATCATGATTTCCACAAAAATATTCCACCAAATCAGCATATTAGAATGATTTCAGAAGGATCAAGTGAATATTAGTTATTTTAATATTTTTAGTAATAATATTTCACAATATTACTGTTTTACTCTATTTTCGACTCTGAACGTTTGAATGATAGTGTATCCTACTGTATATATTTATATTTGTAATTAAATAATTGTTTTAAACTAATAAAATGCCAGTAGAGTCCAAGCCTAAACAGCATTAAAGTTCTGACACACTCAAATATCATCTGATAGGATATCTTGTGGATATCCTGTCTACAGCTGTGCAGTAGCAGCTCTGTTTCACTATAATATCAAACACCACAATCTGCCATTGTACGGACACGTCATCATAACCTCAAACTTCACACGATTCCCACCTTAGATAAAGCCTCCACATGAAAGAGTGATGCTAGCGTTATGAAACTGGAGACAGATCCACTCTCAAGATTTGGATATTTACATGGGCAAATGCTGAGCAATTATATGTATTTGTCGTGAAACTGAGCATTGTTTGTTTACCGTTGAATGTGTGCTTGTACGTACACGCGCAGTGTGTTACTGATATAATGCTGCCTTCACGTGCTATTGGAAATTTCCTATTTCCCACTTATGAAGTCGTGATTACGAGCTTGTAGTATTCAAGTGCTTTAATGTCGGAAAGAATAAAATGTAGCATCCCATTGGTTGACTATCATAAACATTCACCGCGCTACACATGCAGTTTGCTGACAATTCTGGAATTTCGGTCAAATACATGCTTATTTCACTGCTTATAAAACATACAATATGCTTCGAATGATCGTTCATATCTAGCCTATAAATACACTACTTTAG